GACAAAATATAACCAGCAAATATGATATATGAATAAAACCTTTATTTACAATACAGTGTTCATTTTGCTAAAGTGGTAATTTTGGACAGTATTTTATTGTCTCTGTTTTACTGCTCCTTTATGAAATTCTCAATTTCCAAAAAAATTATTAACAATTGGCATGCTGCATTACCGTATCTGTTATCTAATGGAGAATATGTCTTAGAAGTTTTGTTCTTGACAAAACAATGCAGTCTAGTGCTCTGTGAGATTCTTAACTGCATGTTTAATAATGCTGTTGGGACTCGGGTCAAGGTTGACCCTTTAGGAATTCTTGACAAAGTTAAAGTTATTCAAATTTATATTTGCTTTTGGTTGTTGTCTCCAAGAGTCTGTCATTTGGAGTATTACATGAAGTCTTGATTGAAGACTTTTTGCAACACTGTCCTTGGGTCCTTTTCTAGCTCTAGTTGAAAGTTCTAACTCTATCATATGAGGCTGTTGCTATCACTTGCCATTTCCATCAAGGAGATCTTTTGCTTCATTAATTTTTGCAGCAAGATATGGGGAGCCTCCTGCAAGATGGATTAAGAATACATATTTAGTTTTTAAGTCTATGTTGGTTAAATTTTACACACAAGTTTAAAAAAAAGTAGTTTGCAAACTTTTCTTGCCTTCCTAGTTTCATATGATGCCCCACCAAAGGGAGTTTTTAATACGCCAAACTTTGACATTAAATCTCACCCCTACTCAATTTCAACTGAGCAATGTTTGCATTTTTGGTTGATTACACCTCAGTAGAATATAATTGTTAAATTTACCTCTGTCAGGGTGATTTATCAACATTATTCTTCTATGTGCCTCTCTGACTTTGGCCTTGCTTGCTGAAGGACTGCAGAATGAGATAAATGTACTCACATTTCTTAGACACCTAAAATTACTATTGAAATATAATTCAACTTTCTTGTGCTTGTATTACGCTCTGTCATGCAAGTTCACCTCTATAATTTCTTCCCTTAAGCAAGATTACGAGGAAAACCAATCTAAATTTATTCTCACAGTATTATCATAGAAATGATAATTTGTTTATTACATTGACAGCCAGCCAATTCATCCTTTATGATTTCATGACAAATAACATAGAAATTAATGTACATCAAACTGAACTGTTTTTGTACCTAATTCCCAGAACTAAACCAGCTTCTCTTTTGGTCATTTTAGGTTCAAATCCTCCTCTGTAATAATGACTAAACTCCTGTTTGTAAAGAAATATATAAAATGTGGAAAATATTTATCTCAAAAGTACATCATCAGCATATTCCAGTTAGTTCCTCAGAGGGAAGGAAGAAAAGAGGGGAGTGAGGGGGAAGGGTGGAGGACTCAAACTGAAAACCGTCTGAGCTGTTTTAAGTTGTTTTCTGTAAAATATTCCCTGACTGCCTTGAATTTTCTAAAGAAAGCTATGTGATGTAATTGGTGGAAACCTCAGTAGTTAAGATCACAGGCATTTTTTTTTTCACCAAGCTAAAATTTTCACCTCTAACTATACACAAATGCATTCCTTTTGTCTTACAACACTTATCCATCATGTAGTAAATTTTGTGAACATTGGTATCTGTCTGATGAAAGGGTTACTTGGTCCTTGAAAAAAAAGGAACCTAGAGTTTTACTGTAAATATGAAAATACAATCTTCTTACAACAGTTTACAAGTTGAAAAGCTAGGGAGAATTAGTGTGATTACTTTGGCACGTGATGCTTTTCCCCCCAATTTTGATTGACATTAAAAATACTGTATAAAATATACAGTATTTTTAAAATAATTCTAATTAATAATACAGTAACATCACTTGATACTCATATTAATTACCACCAGGTTAAGAAATCAAACATAAAATGAGATTCTCGCTGACAAGGGCCAACTGAGTGCAATACTGGTTTCGTGAACTAAACAAACACGTAACTTTATCATGAAGGACTTCCCATCTGTTCTTAACACTACTTACCGGTATCTTAGGGATAATCTTAGGTATCTCATTTAAGTTAACTTTTCTTAACGCCTGCATGGCAAAACGGCCTGAAATACGAAAGAAGTCCTCTATCAGGAATTATGCAACACGTGCAAATCACAGATGTCAAGTTATTGATGCTTTTCTGCCATAAAACAAACCTGCTATCGCCGCTCCAGCGACTCCAAGCCCTGCTAATACGAGTGTAGTCTAAGGAAAAGTGAATACAACATCATATTAATAAATGGCCCGCAGAGATCACCATGAAAAAGCGAAGAATAATAACCCACCATTTTCTCGATGTGGACCGAGTGACTGTCATGACGCAAGAAGTTACCCATAGGGCATCACGCCAGCGAACAATCCCAGGGTCCCAAAGGAATATAGTTGAAACAATATCCGGGACATTTGTGCCTTGCACGAGTCATTCCGGTACCATCATGGCGGATCTTTTGGGTAGTGACGACTTTCGGGAAGATCCAGCAGCCGAATTTTTGGCCAGAGAACAAGATGATCTCGCTGAGCTTGGAGAAGATTTCGGTGAAGAACAGCCAGAAGCTAATGTAAGTTCTTCGGAACCTTATTTTTAGCAGTATTTAGGGCCATCCTACTATCGGTTTGTGATATTGTAGAGAACATGATCTTTAGTCTTGTCGAGTTTTAGTCGGAAGGCGTCAACGAAGGTTTGGACGTTTGATTAGTTTTTATTAAGTTGGGAATCATCTCTATCGGGAGCCATTCATTTTTATCGATGGCTCAATTTT